GTCATTAAGTGCCACCTCGAGCAGTGGGCGCTTTGTAAGACTGATGCAGGAGGACAGGAAGCTAAAAAACAATTTTGTGCCCGGTGCTGACTTTGTTTTTGCAGCAAGTGCCCAAAAAGGGGGCTGGGCAGAGTCTCACACTCCCTGCACTTTCTGCCCTGCCTGAGGACCAGAACAAGGCAGTTATGCAAGCCCTGCTCTGTACAGGTTGGTACAGCCATGCCCATTGCCAATGCCTTTGGGTCCCTTGGATGCATTGCTGTATAATGTCAATTATGAGAAGTGTTACTGCTTTTCTTAGGTTGCATACAAGGCTTTGTATTGTGTGCTGTTCTGCACCTCAGTGCTTTCAACATGAACGATGCATGATCCTTCAACTCAGTGTATCTTTGTCTCAGGAAAGCTCAGAGAATCTGTTGTCTTCACAAGAAAAATGACATGCAAAGTACACAGCATATGCTGGTTATCTTGTCATTGTCTGCTCCTAATGCTAGCATGGTGTTGCAGGTCTCCTCTGTCCTCCGGGGCTTCTTGGACTTGATGCTGGTGCGGGAACCCTCACAGAGAGCCACGGCGCAGGAACTGTTGAGACACCCATTCCTTAAGCTGGCCGGGGCCCCTTCTTGCATCGTGCCCCTCATGAGGCAGCACCGGCACCGCTGAACGCAGCAACTTCTCAGGAGGAGATTGGTGCAGGGGCCAGGTAACGGCAAGGCAGGAATCCCTGCGGTTGTGTTGGAACCACGGGAAGGGGGAGGAAACCTTGCGTAAGAAAACCCGCCCCACGGAAATAATGTGGTGTATAAAACCCAAAGGGGTGCTCCATGGGGGTGCAAAGGACCTGGGGGGGGAGCCTGGCCACCACACGGGGGGGGAGGGGATGCGTGATGTGGCTGCGCCATGCTCTCATCTTGGCCATCCAGGCAGAAGGTGCCAGATGCAAACAAGGGGGGAAAGATAATGAACAGGATAGCACAACCAGAGTGAAACACCAGGATTTCAAAAGTAATGGCTATGGCTCTTCTACTTCAGAAAAACACTGTTCTGACACACACACACAAAAAAAAAGCACTTTTTTAATCTCAGTCATAGCAGTGTAATGTATTTTGAAATGAATTTGTAATTTTCTGTACAGTACTTTTGATAATTTGCAGTTCTTTGTCATGTAACCATTGTGCTAGTTGAAGTAATATGTGTAACTTAGCAGAATTTGAGAAGATAAAAATGTTTCCTACTTTTTTTTAACCCTTTTGAATATGGAAAAAAAGCCTTCTAGGAAGTTAGAAAATTTGGCAGACTTTTCCCTTGGGGTGTGGAGAGTGCTTTGTCCTGCTGTCACAATAGCCTGAAGATCAATGGGTGCCAACAACAAGAACACGGTGAGGGCAGATGCTTTGAGTGCTTGCCTTCTGGGGGCTGCTGGCCTCATGGCAGCAATCCAAGCTTCTGCCATCTGCAGGGAGGCATCGGGGCCCTCTGTTTCCCTTTCTCTAGCTATGGGAACTGACACAGACATACCTTTGCTCAAGGGTCACCCAGCGACCTGGCAGCCCCCTCACATCCTGCTGCTGCAAAGTCAGGTTAGTTTTGCAGAAATACCCATTATTTTTGTTATGCTCTGGAAGTTGATGGAAGCGTTCTCCAGAGTTGGAAGAGACCGTTGTGATACATTATGAGATGTTTGCCATATAGAAGTCGTGCTGCTGTCTAGACCTTCTTGAATGTTGATACAACAGTTGACTACTATGGAACATTTTTGTGTTACTTGTTGGATGAACTTGCATGTTAACTGTAGGCCTATAGCTTTGCCTTTAAAATTTTTAGAAGTGCTTCATAATTAATTATTTCAATGATAAATTAAATTTTATTTATTAATGATTAGTTTTTAATTATGTATAGTATGAAAGCCATGTTTTTCCAGTTATTTTTTTCTTACTGACCTCATTTTATGATACGAAAAGCCAATTTTGTGACAACAGGATTAGCTTATTTCTTATTACAAAATTTCATAGTGAATATATTATTTATCATAGCAAATTATAACCAAACCCCTGAACCCCTTGAAGATCTTCCTCCCAGGCAAAAGACTTGCCAATAGGACAGATGCCTTTTTAGTACCACCCTTAAAAGTTAAGTGACAGTTGAAGGGGGAGTAGCAATTAAAGGAAGCAAACAGGAGGGGAGAGAAATATGAATTTGAACATTGCATAAATATCCTTCAACATATATGCCTCACCCTCCTCTGCTTTCTCTTCTTAACCCTGTTTGCACATTTCAAGGAAGTGTGTTCAGCGGAGCCTCTCTGCCCTGCTGCAAACACGCTCTGCTGGTACAGACCTGCAGAAAGCCAGCTGAGAAAGCAGGGCAGCTGTGGAGTTTTATTTAAGAGTTTGTATTTTGTAGTCTTGACAACTCAGGAAAAAAAAAGGCTGCACAGGTAGAGGCAGTGGCATACAGGAGAAACTGTAATACTAGACAAAGTCAAACTTTTTTAAACCATCTTTGAATAAAAATGGGGTTGGTGGGTTTTCCTCTTTAATACTCAGCACACTTTAGACTGTTCAAGTGGAGAATTTTTTTGCAATTTTCTTATCATTAGATACTTCAGACAGTGTTCATTGAGTTTATGGAAAGTTTTGTTGGGTGCAAAGGTTATTGGTTTTTTTTTTGTGTGCTCACCAGCTACTGGTGAGACAATGCACATGCAAGTTAAATAAATTAATACATAATTTTACTTCCACTGTGGTTGTTTTCCATGTCTTCTGTGTCTTTTCTAAGTTGTGCACAATGTCACAGACTGCTTGGCCAAGCCAGTAGCCAGAAGAAGGTTCCTTGTATGTACATGCAAATATATTAAGTTTAACCTGAAGAACTGCAAGTTGGAAGATGCATAATGCTCAGGTAAGGGGCCCCTGACATCATTGTTAAATTACCTTAACCAGGAGATCACAGAGCGTGGAGAAAAATGATGGCAAGAAATAATCACAGAAATTGAGCTCCTCAGTCTATGCAGAACTCCTTGACGTGGGGTACAGATTATTTTTTCTCTCAGAGCCCCTCCAGTCCCTGAGGAGGCCGTGCTGCCTGGGACAGAAACACCCCCTGTTCTCCACAGCAGCCTCCCCTTCACTTTCTCCTTGCACAGAACAAACCTTCCCTCTGGCAGAAGTCACCATTGTGTCCCTGCCAGCTGAAGCAAGTGATGTAGTTAGAGACATGTGAGGGTAGGCCCTGGAAGCAAGGCACTAGGATTCAGCCATGAACCCTATGACATAACACAGACACATATGTGCACACACACACAGTCTTTACAAAATGCACAAAAAAAGCCTTTTGTTGCTCAGTACGTTGGTGCTGGTGACATTTGGCAGGAGCATGCAGGCTTCCCTCTGCAGTCAGCCATAAAGTAACAAAAATTATGAGAAACAGTTGGCAGACCCACACAGTGTTGTATCTGAAGTACTCCAGAAGAACTGAGCCCACTGAAACATTTCCAGCTTCTCTTCCTGTCCCCGAGGCAATCTTTTTTTCCCCCCTTTACATGGCCCTAAAACATTACTCAGCTACCCCAGGAGTGGCATCAGTTAGCTTTATCTCTGCCATTAGTTGCTCGTTTGCATTAGGCCATGTGCTTTTGGTTGTCAACATCAGCAAACGTTTCAAAATGCACTCACCATCATCCTTTGAGAAACTGTCCCTAGGATGAAGCCAGAGCCAGTCAAAAGCAGCACATAACCAACACCACTTACCTCGTGCTCCTGTTGTCATTAATAAATGGTGCATTTTCCTCAGCTCACCCGTTCTACAGCCATTCACAAATACTTGTAACTGCAGGAGCAGAGGCCAGGGCATTTATTGGCAGCATAACTCCCTTCCTCAGAAATACATCAAAAATTATAATGAAAGTTCTATTCATAAGTACTTTGGAAGTCCTTAACAGCTGTTTCAGTAAGTACTTAATTACTACAGGTCCTTATAGAGCTTAGTAGGTTGATGAGTTCCTCGAATTTATGCACGTTCTACCATGTGTTCATAAACAACCACAAAGCAAAGTGTTTGGTTTGCAGCTAACGCGTGATAAGCCATCTATGACTAAAAACTAAACACAAACTGAAATGTAAAAAATTTAAAAATAAATGAGCTCACAGTGGAAGCACTGCCATCCTCAAGTTACTGCAGACAGCTTTTTGAACTTCTAAAGAATTTCAAAAAAGGAGTTTGGAAAATCATCAATTGATGGAAAACTCAGTAACTTAGCAAAAATATGGTTTGAACTGAAAGATGTAAAGAGTTCTATGTTGAGATTTTAAGCAAGCATGGATGGGTTACCCAAATCTTCAGTCTTCTATGTCAGACCTTAAGCCAGCCACACTGACATACAGTGAAAAGCCAACAGCTTCTGCACTGCCCACACCCTGGTTTGTGCCTCACCAGGCAGGTGGTGGGACTGCAGACTGACAGCCGCTCTTCCACTGTAGCACAGCAGTGCTTTAATTTTACTATCGCCACGTGGCTGGAAAATCCAACCCAAGCATACTTTTGCTGTAAATACATCTCAATCCAAGTTGCAGTTTCAACACTGAACTTACTACTTTTCTTAGCTCATCATTCCATTTTAAGCTGAAGAGAGAGTTGCTGATTCGGATCAAGCAGAACAAGATGTTATTTCCATTCCCTTAGCTAAGACAAGGCCTGAGGAGCCAAGGGAAGACAAAGGTTTCAGTGGGAACTGGGTGGTACCAAACAAAACATGCCATCACCCACAACACACGTAAGAAAAAAGTGGCTGAGATCAGAACACTGGAAATGGCCTATAAGAAACAGAACATCAAGCACCCGCAGAATACATCAGCAATCCATCTGTACCAAAATAGTGCTAGAACAACAATCTACACTGAATAGCATTCCATCTGACTGCCCATTGTCACACCTGCCCCCCTTAGATACCACAGATCTGGCACAAAGTATTAGAGCATTTCAAAATAACAACGGAAATCAAGTACGCTATATGTACATGTTTTAATTCATTTAAAAATGGCCTACATTTCAGGTTAGATTCCAAGAGTTTCCTTACATTTTTTCTGTTACGTTAGATTATACCTGAATAATCTGCATAGTAACGTGAATAGTTCTGTTTTCTTTTTTGTTTGTTTCTGTCTCACTGTGAAGGTATCAGTTGCAAGTAGCAATGTAACATCTCAACAATCACAATACGTGCAGAATGTCCAGCCAGAAGCATTTCTCAGTTGACTTGCAGTAGCATGGCTCTTTATAGTTTGTGTATCAATACTCTTTTTTGTGTGCGTTTCTTTTGTTTGTGTGTTAAGTTTAAGTTAAATTTAATTCAGATGTGGCGCAGGAAGCAAAAACAAATTTTCTTCACTCCCCCTCACGTGTGGGGTCAGTTCCTCAGCTGGCTGCAGTACTACAGTATACAGCAGCTTGAGGATCTGGCCTGAACTTTTCCTGACACATCCCCATACCTTTTTGTGATTTCCTTACACTGCTGGCATTTGCACTCATGTTGTTTGGAGCCCCTTTCTCAGAGGACCTTAATGAAGTCCACACGATGGCCAAGTCCCCCCAGTCCTGCTCTCTGGAAATACACAAACACAGAGGGTGAACAGATGCCAAGAGCGGCGATGGGGAGGTAAGAATCCCTTGAGGAATAAAGAAAAAAGGAAGAAACAAAACCATTTTGCCCCTTGTGGTAGACTTTGACACATGAAGTACTTGTCTGCAGGTGTTGGGTTCAGCTGATGAAGAAGGTATTCACAGCACCTACTGCCACAGACAGTCCTGAAATCAGACATGCTTAATTGTCTTATGGAGACAGCTGAGTCTGTGCACTCACTATATAGAAGCTTAACCTCCTCTGTCTCCACGAAATACTTGCAGTTGGGCGTTGTGAATACCCTCTCTTCCTCCCCCATAACCTTTTTTCTCCCAAAGAAAAAAATGCTTTTGCTTTGTCTACCTGATGAATATCAGTGCTGCTGCGTCCTGTCGCCTATCCCATGTGTTTGTACTGAGATCTGTCACGAGGAATTTGCACTTGGTTGGCTGTGAGCTTATGGTGGATGTGGTAAACACAGAGGGTTATCACAATAACCAACCCCAGTATCAGGCCCAAAATCAGAGGCAGGGTTTCTTCTAACTGCTCCCTCTGGTCAACCGGGCACTTGTGTTCTGCAAGGGGAAAAATGAAAGGGAGATAAAGAGAGAAATGAGTGAGACACGGCAAATGTTGGAGAAGCTGTCCTGTAGAAGTCAGCTGCAAACCAGGATCCCTGCATAGCAAAAATAGCTACACCAACAAAGAGAGACAGCAGCAGTCATCAGAGTCCTGGGGAGAAAATCAATTGCTTTGGAGGAAACTGAAATCACAAACAGCGCAGGTTTGGAGGGAGAGGAAGAGCCTTTTACCATGCCAGCTGACACAGTGGAATAAAGTGCTTTCAGACCATAAACTATTCTTCAAAGCTCTGCCATCCAAATAGAGCACCAGCGCTGGGAGCAGGACAGCAAGAGCAAGCTTCCTCACCCTGTTCTGTTTATTTAGAGACCATGAAGGTGATAATCACAAGGTCTTGACTTCAGCATGCCTTAAACCTGCAATCAGTCTGACCCTGCTTTTACTAAAAGGGTTTTTCCCCTCTGCCTGTGGGCTGATGGACCCACCAGCCCCTTCCCCCTCCCTGCGAGCTGCCTGAGGGCAGTGTCCCAGTACTGGAGAGCACTGCACTTGTGGACAAGCAGCATCACAGCAGCCACTCTTGTTTGTCAAATACAGAAAAGGACGAACAGAAGCATCATGAGCCTCCCTTCTGGTTTACCCCCTGGCCTGCAAATCCTCACCATCATTCAATAAACCCCTAGAAAGTTATCACTGCAATATGGGAAAACACTTCTCTATTTAGCTTGCAAATGCAAAGTCACCAAAAGTGGAAAACAGTATCCTTTTAATTCAGCTCCTTTATGCTGCCACAGCCTATTACGGGCAATAGGTTCATGATTTACTTCCTTAAAATCTCACTTGTCCATGCTGATGCTCAGGCAGTACTGGTGGTGCCAAGGTGGGGCTGCCATACCAAAACAAGAAAGCCAGCCCTTAAGAATAAATCTATCAGTACAGTAGGGACAGTGCTCCAGTGCCTGGCTTCTCTTATTCACTGTGCCAGAATTCTACTGTCAACAATGGAAGTAGCAGTAAGTTTCTAAAAGAAAGAGGCAGAAAAAATAAGTTATGTCAGACACACTCAAAAAAGGGCACCACGAAGTCCTCCCATCATGAGACACCAGATGGGTTTCCCTAGCAGCTGATGCAATGCAGCAAGATGCAGAGATCTGGAATAGCAAACCCTGCAGCCTACTCTTTCAAAATACCTACTGCTAGAAGCAGGAAAAACAATGACACCTTTCAGCACAGGCAGGAGGGGACAGCAGGGACATAAATGTATTTCCAGTGCTGCCAGCACCTCTGGAGACACACCGCCTTCCAGAGCGGAGCCCACATCCCCGCAATGCGTTTGGGAACATTTCAAGCCACAAATAAAGTGAAACATAAAAGCAAAAGTGAGATGCAGTCTGACAAGGAAGTATTCTTTCAGTTCCAGTTGCTCACTGTTCCATCAGAGGAGCAATTAATCACTGGGACTGTTACAGGCGGTTCAGCAGTTGCTGCAATGCAGGGGTTTTGTTTGTAGTAGGAAGAAAGGGGAACAAAACAAAACAAAAGACAGAAAACCAAATCAGGTTCCCAGAGCTCTATGGAATTCCCCCCAGTTCAGGATGGTGAGGCCTGACTGGGCTCACAATACTGAGCAGAGCCTCAGCAGCTGCTTGGTACCAACTGCAGGAACAGCCGCGGTCAGATCTGACCCCAACTGTGCATAGGCGCAAAGAAGCGGATGGGTAAGCACTCTGCTTAAATACTACAGAGCACTGCAACAAGTCTGCTGTAACACCAGCTGAGGGCACCCACCTGTGCTCAAACATGGCAGGTTTGCCCACACTCATTTCCTTAAACAGGAGCAGTGCTGGATTTTCAGAAGAACAGGGTCAATGTGAAAGTCTGTGGGCAGAGCAAAAGCCCAAGCCAAAAGCCCTAGGACTAACCCAACTCTCAAGCACCTGCATTTCTATCTACTGCAAAAGCAAATTGGTACAAAGCACAACATTTATCAGAATACATAGCCAAAACTCACGTCCACAGGCTGTATTTAAGTCTCTGAGTCACAACTCACAAAGGTGTCAGTTCTTGCAAGCAGCCACAGAAGATAGCTCTTTTTCATGACACTTTTTAAAAGAGGATTATAAGAAAATAAAAATACACCAACAAGAAAAAATAAAAAAATAAAAAAGAACCAAGGCAAAGCTATTGCTCTCCAGCAGCACACCGCATAGCATGCTGCCCCCCAGCCAGGCATTGCAGGCAGCCGGGCACCTACCCTCACCCAAACACATCCACTCTGTCCCACTGGAGCTGCTCACTGACACCTCTGCTCTCAGAGCATAGGGAAGTGGGGCTGAGCTGCAGGGAGCCCAGCAGGAAGGTGCCCAAAGCACTAAGCACAGCACCATCTGCTCAGCACTACAGCTACTGCGAGCTTAGGGGATGAATTTTGTACTTTAACACCATATGAACACTGCATTCATATTATAATACATATTTTCACATCTATAACTCTATCCTTCAACATCAATACTGACTTTCATCTTTAGAAGATAAGGCGATGCAGATGCTGAGGCCTGCAGTCCTGCAAGGATGCAGCAGCAGGTGCTATTCCCACCCTGTCAGAAAAGATGTGTGTCAGAAAAAAAGAGCGCAGGAATTACAGGCAGTGCCACACTCAGGCATCTGACCTGAGCAACCCTAGCGTGGGCAGAAGCACTGCTCAGTGCACAGCAAATTAAAAACTGTCACTTTAAACACACCTACACATTATATCAATAGTCTCTGCAGGAAAACAGCCCCTTTCCATTTCATTTTCCCTGAGATTTTGGTTCAGGTCACACAGATCTCAGCATTTTCCCAAACTGCTGAGTTTTCCACTCAGTTCAGCAGGGTGCAAAGGTTCCCTGGGAATTCTCACTATGCAGTAAGTCAGGGTGATGCCGTGAGGTTGGCTGCCCCCCGGGACCACCTCATAGCCTCATACAGAGCTGCAGGAGGATGACAAAGGATGCACCCAGGTGTGCTCTATTCCTTTGTGCGGAGACTCCTCAGGCAGCGTGAGGCACCGCAGCTCACGTACCGCCACGGTTTCTATGGTGAATGCTCGTCCAATTTCAGCAGTAGGCTACAAAACCACTCACCAGGCCCATTTTCTTGTTTCAGCCTCCTTCGGCAGAACAAACAGCAGCAAGGAAAAAAAATAATAAAAAAAAAAAACAAAAAACCCATCAGACAGCATTTTTCCGCAGTCACAACTGCAAGCCCAAGATCTGGTGCAAGGGCTGTGAAACGGATGGAAGAACAGCCCGGCAGTGCTTGGCATGGCAAGATGGATTTTTGAGATGGGTTTTTGTAAGCAATTTGGTTTTTTTTTTTTTTTTTTAAAAAAAAAAAAAGGGCAGCCTTGTGCTTTTTAGCTGTGGCCCTACGCCTCACAAAGGGGGGCTGCCCTGAGAAAACCGCTCACATCTGGGGCTGCTCAGGAGGAAGACGACCCATTGCCTGCCTCTGGATTCCAGTGTGCCTGCATTTTGGAGGATTTTCATGGAAATCAAAAGAGTGTGTGCAGCTCCTTCTCCCCTCTAGATGCTCTCCTCTCACTCTCTTGCTTTAGTTCTCTTTCTGCTGATTTTAAAGCTGAAGAAATGCACACTTCCTGTTAAAAAAAAGAATCCCAATTTCAGAATGAAAAATTCTGCTGCTTTCATAGAATGGCCTACTGTCCCTAGAAGGGATATTAAAGACCTTCTACACTAAAAAGTGTGAAGGAGTATCTGTATGTCCATGTGCTGGTTGAAAACAGTATCTTAAAAAAATAACAGTAATCCCAGCACTTCTGGCATTCAAAAAAAGTGAAAGTAATCTGATCACTGCAAGTTCCTTGATCTCCTCCAGGCAGGACAACGCGAGGATGAATGATGAGTCCATTGCCCACCACTACTTTGCAGTGTAAGACGATTCTCCCACTCTAGCAGGTCTCATTCTCTGGTAAAAAAAATATTTTAGAATGTTCTGTAGCTTGTTCATAATTAATAGGAATTTTACCTAATGGGAAATTAATGAACCAAAAAGGAGAAGGCTAATTACTGTAATTTCAGATTGGCAGTGATTCTCAGACCCCACAAAGGATCACGTTCTGCCATGCATGTGGTGAGCACACAGCAGACTGCGGGGCTGTGCCGCAGCCAGGGCTGGAGCTCTGCTCTTAGACAACCACTATCCAGCATTCCTGGCCATCCTTTCCAGGTGCTCCAATGGAATTACATCAAAAGAGGTAATTTAATAACAAGAGGAACAGCAACAAAGCAGAAAGCTTGCCCAAGGCAGAAATAGTGCTCAGAAGGAGGAATTCCCCACATGCATTTTAGAATTGCAACATCAGCTGAGGTCTCCCCGTGATCTGCATAAAACGAGCAAACCAAGCCATACAGTAATAATAAATACCAATAATGAAATAGAGTATTTACAGATTGATACCAAAAGAGCCTATCACAAGAAGAGAAGCTATCCCCTTTGGCAACAAATGCAGAGCCTGATTGCTGTAACTGCGAGCTATCACGCTCCAAGTGCAGTATCACACTGACACTGCAGCACAGCTTCAGCCCCATTCTGTGTATTTTAAACACCCTCCTACCTTCAGCCTGTCCAGCCAACCCCAACTGAAGGGAGTCTGGATCTCTAGGAACAAGAAAGGACGAAGACATGCAACAAAAGTGATAACAGATTATGGAATTCTACCTTTTTCTCCCTGCAGCCTATGCAAAAATACGATGCTATTTCTACAGAGAAAGAAAAAAAAACCAAACACACAACATATTTGTTACACAGATAAAACCACTTACATCCAAAACTGGCCTTACCCTGAGTAACTCAGACCTGGGGAGCACTGCCAGAGCCAGAGCACACAATAGCAAGCATTTACTACAGCGGGCAAAGGAACGTGAGTCACAAAGCGCTCGGCATGTGTTCCGCAGTATTTCCCACATGCCAAATAATAAAGGCCAATGATTTTAATGCTGAGCTTGAAAATAACACTACCATCTTCTAAGCCTGCTGTTAAAAGATTTGACTATTACAATTTTCTCTTGCAACTCATTAAAACAACGGTGTTAAATATTTTGCTAAAGCAATACTACACCAAAGGACCTGGTGTTGAAGCACAAATACTTAGAGCAACATGCTCATCCAACCTGAGGGAAAACAAAGATGAAAGCTATGGAAAAGGAGCTCCACATCTTCCTCAGGATAAACGTGTCATTATAATCCCTGAAGGCAAATCTCAAGGCAGGCAGCTCATTGCATCAAGAAAGACCAAAGCTTTACGGCTTTCTCCTGAGCCACTGCATCCATCCAGCTCCTGCCACCCTCATCTGCTCCTCACACAGACAACCCCAAGCACTAACCTTCCTCCAGACCCCACAAACCATTAGCACAGGGACTGCACACAGGGACACGTTGAACTTCAGCCCACCTAGCACAGCAGCAAACACTGAAGCAAAGACTTCCTGCCTAAACCAAGAACACAGGGAAGACCACCAGCATCTGGAGGTCTCTTGCCAAGTCCCTTCTACACTTCTATCATCCTTGACATGTACATCACAAACATTTCCCAATCTTCCCTCAATGTGCTGTGGCTCAGGACCCTGGAGCTGTCCTGTAAGCAGCTCTGGTGACGCTGAGGAGACCCTTCTACCCCATGGGGCTCCCTGGGGACTGGCTGCCAACCCAGCTAGATGGGGTCTTAAAAAGCTAAGGCTCGTGCCATGACAGCTTGTGCAGCAACCAAACAGCTGGGCTGAACTCATAGAAGTTGAAGTCCATCCAAGGACCACTGACAACCCACCCCAAGGAGGCGATAGCGTTGCGATAAAGATGGGACCCAGGTTCCTCAAGGAAATAAAGAGCCACGGAGACACAAGACACGTCTTCATCCCATGCCTTACCTTCACTGAAGACAAAATCCGCAGTGATGTCAAAGGGCTGGATGCGGACTTCAGACAACAAGAGCTGCACAGACTTCTGGTGATCACTGGAGATGAGGGAGATTGTCTGCTGTGCCTGGCACTCATAGGACTTCCCCGCTGGGGTGACCAAGGCAGAGAGCCGATGGGAACTGGCTGTGTGCTTCCCAGCTGCCAAAGAGCAGAAAGAGCCAAGGTCAAGCCCTGCCTCTAGAGGAACCAATGTGACTTTATTATAACAAAGCTAATACACTGAACACTGGGTATGCCACATGGTGGCTGAACGCTTCAGTGCTCTCAGAGCAGCATTTCTCCTGGGACACCATGCAGCCTGCACGTCTCCCCCATGCAGCTGGGACAATACCCACTCTGCAGCCACCTGGTCACAACTGCTTCCACAGGACTTGAAGTCCATAAAGCCATAGGTAGGGTGGGTATTGATGCCCGTGCAGACAACAGCTTCAGACTGTACTCATGCTCTCTGTGTTTGAGAAAGAGCAATTCCAGCAGCTGTAATTCAGCCCTGAATTCAGGTGGAATCAGCAATGCAGTTTGAGGGTCTTACTGCAGAGCAACATAGGCCATAACATCCTTCCCAAAAACAAAGGTGGTTATTTCACCAAAGTATAAATTACAAGAGAATAGTTTCTTATTATTTCAAGCATGTTTCACAAAGGAAAGTGGAAAGCAGCTCAGCAAGGTGGAATAAGGGAAGCCTCCCACTTTTCTGCAGCCCTTTGTTCCCCTCCAGCAGCAAAGAAAGGCAGCAAGTGTTTTGAATCCGCAGAGGGTGCTGAGCCACTGTCACCACCATATTCTGGGGACACAACCAGTAAGGGGGAAAAAAAAAAAACAACTGGGAAATACAGCTCGACAACCAGCAAGTCTCATGCCGCAAACTCATCATGCACAGGGCACTGGAGTTTGAAAGCCTTGCTGAAGAAAAAATAATCACGAAGGACAGTATTATAATTTTCAGTGCAAGATGACTCATTTCTGAACAGAAGAAAGATAAAACTCAAACGAAAGCCAAAAGAAAGGAAACCCACTGAGGGATGACTCGACCGCTGTCAGGTGTGGATGCGCTAAGAACATCGACGTCCGTTTCATCACTATCAGGGGGAAACCGCTGCTTTTCCCACCTACTCAACAGCCATCAGGAGGGAGTTAAAAAGTAGCCTCACAGGCTGCTGCGGGAGCCAAGCACCGCCAGGACGGAGGCAGAGCCGGAGCCGCTGTCCCCGCACTCCCGGACGCCGCGGGAGGGCTGTGGGCAGAGCTACAGCTCGGCTCTCCCTTCCGCCGCAACCGCGGGCGATTATAAACGCAAATACAAAATAAAAAAGGGAAAAATGAATACGGGGTTCAGAAGCGGCACCCGGTCGCGAGTTGTCGGGCGGGTGCTTTCCCACCCCTCCCCTCCCCACGCTACCGGTCCCCAGATGCGCTTTGCAGCGCTGTGCTCTGCGCGCTTACGGCTGACGGCATCCTTGAAGTAGGTGCGCTCCGAGGTGTCATAGGCGAACTGGATCCGGCTGAGCCTCCAGAAAGCCTCCGGCCCGCGGGACGTGTTGTGCCCCTCCTGCGGGGACAGGGTTGGTCAGGGCCCCGCAACGCGGCCGCGCACCTCCCGCACCTGCGGGGACAGTCCCGTACCTTCAAGAAGAAGAGTTTGAGGGTGTACGCCCGCTCCAACCACGAGATCTCCAGCTCCGACTCGTTGGTGCCGCACTTGCCCTTCATCTCGGCGCCCCGCGACAGCGGGATGTCGGCTTGCTCCGTGATCAGCTGCCAATGGGGAGCGGGGCTCAGACGGGTGACCCCGCGGCCGCCCCCCAGCCCCACCGCCCACCCGAACCGCTCCCTCGGCCCCACTCACATCCACGTAGTTGCTTGCCCACACGTCGTAAGGGACGATGAACTTGGCGGCGAATTCCGCCATGAGGCACGTCGTCCTGTTCTCCCGCACCACAAAGATATCCTTTTCGGGGTTAGGGGAGAGCCCGGAGAGGTTTTCAACTTCTTGCTCGGCAGCCAGACGAGCCACGGAGTCTGCGGGTACAGAGGAGCTGAGCGGCAGCCCCCGGCCCTTCGCCCCTCCGGCCGCCCCCACGACCCGACTGCCCTGTCGAGACGGAGCGGGCGCTGGAGCGGCCGGTGGCGGTGAAGCAGGACCGGGGCTAAGCGGCACCGGAACTGTTTCAGCGCCGGCTGCATCGCGACATGGCTCCGGGTCGCGACGGAGGGGCGAGCGGGGTATCGTGGTACTCACGCAAGAGCAAGAGCAGCCCCGGGAGGCGCCCCGCGGCCATCCTCCCTGTTCGTCCCGGCGTGCCCGCGGCGGCGGCTGCACCGAGCGGGTCCGCTCCGGAGGAGAGGAAGAAAAAAACAAAGGGAAAAGCAATTCGTAAAAAGCTCCAGCCCCTCCTATCCGAGGAGCCGCACAAGCTGCTAAAGCGCTCCGACGCGGAGTGCCGGGGAGGAGGGATAGGGAAGAGTGTGTGGGTGTGCGGGGAGGGGGAGGACGGGAGGAGGGGAGATGCCGGCGGTGATGGAGGTGCCAACGCTGAGGGACAGGGCGGTGCGGGGAGCGGAGCCGGGCTTCCCCTGGGCGGCGCTCGGTGGAGGGGCTCGCGGGGATCCCCGCGGGGATGCCGGCAGAGAGCGGGGACCTCGGGCAGGCGGCCGGAGCGGGGCTGAACGCGGCCGGAGCCGCCGTTCGCGGGATGCGAGCAGCTAAACCGGGACGGCGGCCGTCCTCCGCGGATGGAGGAAGGGTTATATAGTCCAGGCTGCTCACGGACCGGCAATAATTTCATCGAAGGCGAGCAGCTGCTTAGCGTGTTAATTTAGAACGAAACGAGCAGCTATTTTTGTACGGCAGGGTCAGGAGCGAGGCCGGCACCCTTTTGTAGAGGGCCGGGGGCACATCTGAAATCTCGGGCCAGCGCTCACCGGCAGCACCCACACCGCCGGGGAGGCGTGCTAGGGCTAGAGGCAAAGGGGCATTTCGGGCACGCTTTGGCACCGAGCAATGCGTACGCAGGCAACAGCGCTGCGGCCGCCCCGGGCTGGACAAGCCGCCTATTCCCAACAACGGTTCCCTCTTCTACCCCAGCTCGACTGCGCGACCAGCGCTCCTGGCGGAGCTGCCCGGAGCACGGCCCTTCCAGCCGCCCTTTTCGCCTTCCCCGTACCGCTAAGCGATATGGAAATACGAGTTTTCTGCCTCGCACAGGGAGTGCTACAGCGTGATGCCACCCCCGATCACAAAGCTACGAAGAGAAGGGCGCGCCCCACTCCTTACAAGCCAGAAGAGTCACGAGCAGCTATTAATGAACTGGGACCTATGCAGGATCCTTTTCTCTCCATAAAAAGAAGGGACAGCAGATACTTGGGAGTGCGTGGCCTTGCACAGATTCGCTAGTAATTCATTTTTCTAGTTCAGAAAAAGGAGTCTGGAAGAAGCACTCCCAAGCTGTGCATGAGGAGGTGTGCTGAGGTGAGTTCTGGCTGCAGGCTGCTGGCTCTGGGAAGCTGCCCTTTCTTTGCCCGAGGATAACTGCAAAGAGAGGGGTTTTCCTACTGAGAACTAGCTCTTCAAAAATAAAAAGTTGCTGGAAAAATACATTGATTGATTGCAACTATTTCATTGAACTCCTTTCCCACATGCTACATTCTAAGTATTGTTATTTTCTATATGTTTTGTTTAGCAATAAAGAATTATTCCTACCCCTCCTAATAGTCAGAACAGTTGTAGTAAACTATTTAGAGAAAAAAAAAAAACAACAAAACTCTTACCTTCTCCAGGTGATCTTCTGAGCACATCAGACTGTATTTCTCTTAAGAGCTTAATGCCATGCCTTTTCAGGTCTTTCACTGAAGACTGAAGCATTTAACTGGCCTCCACTCCGTTCTCTAACCTCTTACTCAGTTTTAAATATTCCTGAAGTAGCTTTTAAGCCTCCAAATGATTGTATGATGCTGAGCAGCTGTCCCTCAACCCAGGGGGGCACTCAGAGAGTTGCTGAACGAGAGCAGCTGTGCCAGGGGCAGGGCAAGCCTGACCCACAGCCCTGAGTCCAGAACAAAAACTTCCATGGCTTCAGCAGCACCCCCACTTCCAGCCTGCAGAGCAGTGTTCATGTGGCCTTCTGTAGCAAAAAAAAGAGAGCCAAGCAGCTCTGGGATGTGCTGCCCACTGCCAGCCCGTTCCTCAGGCAGCCTGCAAGGAAATCAGCCCATGAGGAATATTTTGTGGTTTGAAGAGTGCACTTGGACTGCACTCAAGTGGATGGGTGGGGGGCTGTTAACTCACCTGTATCACCTGTATTTGAACACAGGTGAGTTAATGACTAGCTCCCAGTTTAGTGGGAGTGAAAAAACCCTGTGCAGCCAAGGTGGTGTGACCTTCCCTCTCACAGCTGCACCAAATTTGTCCGAAGAAATCAAGTCAAGGAGAGTCTATCTTTTCCTTAGATGTAATTTTAGTGAAGTAGGATCCATTACTACAGTGGAGAGTGATATTTTAAATTGCTTTAACTCGGTATCAATGTTCAAATTGATTAGCCTATTTCATCTCAATAGAAATTCTCACCTCATTACATTAGCAGCCAAACTTCAAATAATTTTTGAATCAAATACTACTTAAGCAGTATTTCAAAATACTTAGCTGATGGAATTCATCACTTAATTTCAAATTACTGTCTGCATTTTATGCTAAATTGTCAGTGGATGAAATAAGTGATGGCTATGGGAGCTGAGCCTGGATCAGAGGCTAACCCAGCTCTGCAGTTTCACAGCAACACATTTTCTCTCACTCAATCAATGCCTCGCTCCTGGCTGAACAGCAACCACAGACTCAAACGGAGGCTATGGACAGCCTTTTCTTCTCCTCCTAAAACAGCTGATTCCAGGATGTATGTAATACTTGTTAGAGAATTATGACAGAGAGACTTGATTTGATTTGAAATGGGAAAGTGGACTGAAGCCAGGTCCTCTGTTTCCAGTTAATTCTTTAATGAAGTGCAGAGGTATGCAGTTAGGTTGGTAACTGAGCCTAGGAACACCAGCAATATTCAGTGCTTTGCCATTTCATTTTCTCTGTACTTGGTTTGTCGTTTCATTCTCCTAATTGGCTAGAAACCATTGTAGTAGGCACCAATACTAAATTCTAGCTCACAGCACTGCCTTCACCAGCTGTATTTTAGAAGATGTTTTTAATTAAGAAATAATAAAAATCACTGCCTTTTTTGAGCTGCCGAAACTTGCCCAGCATGCTCTGAAAATGCTCCCAGCTCCCTTCAGCACTTGAAAAGAGGACCAGCCATGCTCAGAGGCAGCAGGGATAGCTGCTCCCAGCGCAGCCGTTCTGTGCGCCCGCACACAACTAAAACACCATGGATCATAAAGAGCTGGAGGTGCATCCGTCGGTGATGTGCATCAAAATGGGAATTTTAAATGAGCATCACAGCTTTGCTTACATCCTACCTTAAACACCTAAATACTTCACTGACCTCTCTCTCAGCTGTATTCTCGGGGTAGTGCTGCTACACTGTACTCAAGCTGTTCTGTGGTGCTGCAAAGACCAACGCTGCACAGCTCTTCTATCACTTAAAAGAAAAAAAGACTCATTTCAATAAATAAACTATGATATAAATATATTTACACTATGCACATTACAGGAAATACATCATATTAAAAAGTCATAGGGAACAATAACACCATCCCTGCAATCCACTGTTGGTCACAAATAGAGGTTTTGAATTTTAAGATTTTATTAGAGAAGTTGAAAGTTTCATCTCAGGACTGACAATAACATAATTATCTCTTTTCATTTATTATGTTTATAGGAATATGTAGAATTCATTTGTACAGGCATATACAACAAATTAGGTGGTGCTTAGTACATTGAAATCAGGAATCTGATTTGTTCTAAACTACCATTTTTCCATGCAGTCATCTTCGAACTGGCAGCATGGAGAAGTTCCAAGCAGAATGCTTACATGCATTGTTTTGCAATAACTACAGCAAGCTTTGGAAACATGCAAATTAACACATTAGCAAATTGTTTTTGTATTTAATGGACATAAAAAGATTATTCCTGATATGAAATTCTGAAAATCTGCATAAATACTTTTGTGTAAAATTAAATTAGTTATGTACTTTTCTTTTACTAGAAGTATCAAGAATGCCCATGTAATTAATATACACACATACATAGAGAGACCTTTTTATGCTAAAAGTCTTTGTATTTAATCAAACAAGATTCTGTGCCATACATTTATTCAGTATTTACCAGCTAGTAGAATGACTGTGGTCACAGAGTAGGCATTACAGTCTTATTAGCGTTTGTATCACATGCAAACGTACTCTTAGCATTTCTGCTTACTAGTTTTATCACGTGGCAACACGTATGTGGTTTTTTTCCTACAATGTCATGGTTCTGAAGTGTATAAATACTTTTTACATTTTCACAGTTACAAACTTCTTGCAAAAGCCATTAAAACAATCTTTAAGTTACAATGAACTGTAATATCTGGGATCTGCAGCAACAGGATCAAAACGCAATTTCTGTACAAGCAACATACGATGTAAACTTTTCTTAAAGTGCCTAAAAACAACCCCTTGGAGCACTGAGCAATTTTGGCACAAATACACTGTATTTCCTTCATGCTAACCGTTGCAGTAACTTACATAGGATATGTCTTCTTTCAGACATGACAGGGTTGATATGGCACTTGTGAATGACGTCACAGGATAGCAGAAATATCCCGTGAAGTTACTGTTACAGTTGGTAAATTTGATGGATGGCTTAGTACATACTGTACTTCAAAGCTATACAATTTTCAATTGCTTACTGCCTGCTGCCTGAAAAATACTTCGAAATATAACTAAGAATTGCCCAGACTCTACTCATTAGAGTGATTGGGACCAATGTTATTACAGTGACCTAGAAAAAAGATCCAGCTGAATGGGCTTGATGACATCTGACAAGTCACTTGTTGGTATGTGGCAGCGTGAGGTTTCTACATCATATAGCACACATGGGAACACAAATGGTAAATAACAACTCGACTGTAATTTTGTTGCCATATGAGATAATGTTAAAAATATCTATTGTGTTTCAATGCTCCAATTGTGTAATTCTGATGCAGACAACCTGCCTGCTGAAATACCAAAAGGAATATAGGACAGGGTTTACAAACTCTTCATCTTCTGATTAGTGTTTTTCTGAACAAAGGAAACTCTAATCATGGACATCCAACAATGGAAATTCAGTGCCCAGTGTTAAAACAAAACAATGCAAACTTAAAACTCTGTGGTCCATAGCTATACTTTCTATATTAAAAAATAAAATAAAATAAAAGCTGACTTTTCTACCTCTGCAATAACATTTTGAATTTTGCTCTCATTTCAAGGATGCTATGTTCTCCAACTTCAATTTGCATGTTGAGGCTTTAGACCACTGTTGCTGGCCTGCGATCCATCTCTGCTTCCAGCTTCACCATCTGCTGCATCTCCTTTGCCTGTATTCCAAAATAACCGCAGGAATCACTGCATTAGACCTTGCGTTCAGATTGAAGTCTGGTTTTTGTATTTTTTTGGTATGTTTGTTTGTTTTTGTGTTTTTAACATGATAGCATCTAAGTGAAATACAGGCTAAACACACCAAATATATGAGTAATAACATTATGTGTCTTCCCCCTCCCACCAAGCCATTATGTTTTCAAAATCAGATGTCTGCTAATTAATGGAAAACATTTTTGATTTTATTCCAAAATGCATGGGTTGACTTTCTGAAGAAATACACAGTAAAATACAAAAGCATCAATTTTGGAGGGAGGAGGGGATGAGGGGTGTTACTAGGCACATGCTGATTGAACTGTTTCTCCTGGTCAGAAACATATTTGGGAATGTCTGCACAAACACTGCTGTGTGGTACTGCTGTGAGCTTACTTCCTGAAACATCCAGACTTAATCCATGATCTGGGACTAAATTATTTCCTTAAAGACAACAAATGATCAAAATAAGTCAGTGTAACATCCTCCTTGCAATATGCAAGATAATGCTTGTTTTTTCTTTTCTTTTTTTTTTTTTTTAAATAATCTTTGTCTCTCCTTGAGAGCTTACTCGTCTTTTATTATTACAGACAAGGACTTTTCCAACTCAAGATTAGACTACTGCTACATGCCCTACATGGGATTACACACACTGAATCCACACGAAATTGCACCCAGTTGCACTCTGAGGAATCCAGCAATGAATCCAGCAACAAACTCTGCATGCCTCAGGCTTTGCAAGCAGAGTTAAAGCACTGTGTACAAATGGTATTTGGCCTGGGAATCCTCTGCTTAGAAGGAGCTTGTAACATTTTCTTTCTCTCTCTCATACACACACACACTCATACACACTCATCCCTCCTGCAGCTTCTTGTAGATTGCATATAGTGCTTTAGTTTGAAATTCCATGGTTTGAAAGATCCAGGGAGTCCCCATCTCTTCATTTTCAGTGACAGCTCTCAATTTGGTAACATATTTAAATCTATCATTCAAAGGACTCTAAATAATTTGACCCATAGGGCAAGTTATCTTCACAACCAAGTTTCTGAGGGTTAGGACAGGTTTAGGAAGAGGAAGACCAAACAGATCTTTTCTCTCCAACTGCTTTTTATCTCTTAGGCAGGTTACTGGATTTTATTTAAGTCAACTGTCACAGAAAAACCTGTAAATGTTGCTTTGACAGGGAAATTTGATATACAAGTTCCCGTTCAAGTAGTCACCTACTCTGGATGAACACAGACATTTGCATATGTGAAAATGAGCAGATGCAGATCTAAAGTAATGAGATGCATAGCCATTCATCTGGCAAGGTAAATGTGTGCTTGTGCAGAT